AGAGTTTAATTGGATACGGCAAATCACAAAGAGTGAATAAATCTGAGCCATTGAGAACTGGAGTTTGGAGCCATTACGCCACCGGTTTGTCCCCAGCCTTCATTGATTCTTGCCATCCCAATGACCCAAAACAGGAAGTCAATACCCGTACACATAGTGACGAAGGTCACGTGGGTGTACTACCTGTGTGGAGTTGGGAAACCCTGACAGATTCCAAACCTACGATAGGTACCTGGGTTCCGGAACGCGATCAGATAAAATGGCGTGTATAAAGCAGTTTTAATCGCCAGAAACCGTTGGATTGCAGCATTATGTGACATTGCTTAACACGCTTGTGGACCGGACTTCATGAGAAAGGCTCATGTGAGAATCCTTTAAGACAGCTGATACCTGCCTTGTTTTGTGCTTCCAGGCAGTTAGTATTGCAGCCCAAGTACAAACTTGGAGACAGTTTTGTATGGCGGAACATCCGGTGCGCGTAATGCACCAAGCTCATTTTTTGAGACAAACATATATACACGATATGGTGTATTATGCACCATTACATCCCACTAACCAACGAAAATTCAGGCGGACATGATCTCTCACAGTATCATGCACCGATAACTGAATTTGATCACTCTGATATCGGTTTGGAATTCTTTAGTTATACGGACGAATAACTTGTCCCCGCTTCTTTTTTCATCAATCCTTGGTGGTGGACGTTTGTTTTCTGCTGGTGGTCTTGGAGAGGGAACGCATACTTGGCTTTATGTGAATATTTTAAACGAGTATGTCAATTCAAAACTATGTATTTTTCAAAAACTATTTACAAACAGTTTCTTCATGAATTACCAATTTGTTCGAATGTATTATTAGTCCACCTAAGCAGTTAGCTATCTATTAAATCAGAGATAGGCGGGTGTGAAGGGATTCATGTGTATCTTTTTATGTGTCTCACCTGGGTACACTACTTAAAAGAAGCTTGGCGAAACGCCGGTTTGATGGTTGTTTGGATAGATAAGATCGATGGTCTTCCTATCCATTAAGCACTTCTGGCCGTTGATTTTTGAAAGCGGTATCCTGGTGCTTATATTAACAAAGCAGTCAGTAGTATAGAGCATCATCATCCAAAGGATGACTGTGAAACACTAGTCTTAGCGTTGCTGCAATAATGTTCTTCCCAAAGATGCTGAAGTTCTTCGCCTAAGGATCCCTCAAATTAAGCCTCGTTTGAAATTCACGTTCAGATAACGTTTCTATATTGGGATCAGTAATGTTTCATTCTTCTAGACTTTTGTTCTGATATTCTTGTGGATGAATCTTGATGGGTATTCATTTTGGATGTGACTTAATTTCAGAAATTGCAGTTCAGCGTCCACGGTGCCAGGACGCAGATATATCGGAGCCAAGTGGTAAGTTATTTTTGTCCGACGGGAACCTAACTGTAGAATTTTGTGATATAAATAATAATAATAATAAGATAATAGTCACCCACAATTACTTCTTTTCATATACAATTGTTTAACTTTTGTTCGATTAATGAAGATGTCCGCAAATACAAAATATTTGATGTAAAACTGCCTAGTTTAAAGTTCTTTTTCATGGTACTTTGGATTGAGATTTAGTGACTAAAATACTCAATATACTTCTCATTCTTACTTATTTCAATGAATTTCTATTTTTTATCTAGCAATCTGGAAAAAAACTGAGAAAAATTACGCAAGTGTTTTTTTCTTTGTCTAAAAAATGTCAACAAAATATTGACGTAGAATAAATAATTTGGTTTAAAATATCTTGAGTTAAACAATCTAAAGTCCATTGTGGATAAACTAGATGATAGAAATGAGTAACGAATTATTCTTGATGAGAAAACACACTTTGATTAGCCTGAGTACATAAACGGACTCGTTTTATGAGAACAGTGAATAATTTTTGTAAAGTTCGCTCTACACACAGCACAGAAATTTCGGCTTGTTTCACTGCAAGGTATTTACTTCATGCGCGTAATCTTCAAATAATACAATGATAAAAAATAATTGATAATGTACCAATCCAGTCAATATTGTTCCATCGAAAGCATACCCTATTCCTCTATGAAGATTTCCTTCCAATTACTTGAAAACCTTCTGGAATTTGGCTTGGACTTTTCTGGAAACGTATTCAAGAGTCGGTTATGGTTCATGAAAGCAGTTAGATGGTTAAAACCGTGTCAAATAAGCTAAATTTTGTAAATTTTGTCAGACGGTAAGACGATTTTGATAGCCTAGTGATTCAAGCAGGCCACCAGATTCAGAATAGCAAAACCTTTATCATTAATTCCTAAGGAATAATGGGACTTCAGTAGCATGTTAATATTTCATTTTGTCCATTGCAGTCCTCTGTCGCTGACTCCACGATCGACCTGAAATCCCTATCTCTTTCTCACACGATTTCCTAAATTTATTGTCTGACCAGCCCCCAACATGCTGTTTCAGATTCATGTTCTACTCGAAGGCTGACGTGACTCGTTGTGTTAATCAACGGTCTCCCAGGCGTTGCTGTAATCCACCTTCATTTTCTTTTGGATATTTGATTAGCAATAGGTTCTCGTTCGTTTAGTTGAACTAACACACTTACTTGTTGCTTATCTTTCCTGGTCGACTGTCTGATCTTCAGTATTTGGTCAAGTCAGCTGTTGATAATCACCTGCAGCAAGCTGTGAGAAGTGATTTGGCTGCACACCAGTCAAGTCTGTGGAACATACAGAAGCACTATTGGACTTGAAATTAGTGTTGAATATCCGAATCCCTTTCCTTATGCTGAGTGTCATGAATTAACACAGTGATTTCAGATTAGTGAATGTCTAAAGGAGATTTGCAAACCCAAACGATTTTGACAGTATATCTTTTTGACTTATTGGCGAAATTAAAGGAAGAGATTATGGAGATCCATTTTTGATCAGATGTTAAATTCTTGTGTTTCTTGTGACTGCACTTCCACCTCTTCGTAACCATCCAGAATATTGTTCTTTCACTCTTTTAGATAAAACGCGCATCGAATGACGGATATGATTAGTTGCACAACACCTTGTGAACTGTTAAACTCTTTGAACTCTCTGTAAACAGCCCTTTTTGCTGAATCACTTGATTTAATTTCCTACGCATCCGAATGGACATTTTACATAAATTGGAAAGTTGAGTTGATAAACCACAGTCGGGGTTGAAGCACCTGTACTAATTAACTTCAGTGGTTCTCTGAATAACGTTTTGTGAAAAAATCCACCTTGAATAGGAAAGTGAGGCTCATTGTCTGGAATACTTAACTTTCAGCCAATTTTTATCATTGTTCCTTTGGTTCCGAGTGAAACATGGAGCTTTGACAGCACATCTCCATTTTATCTCGTTCTTTGTAAGTATTCATAGCTATCTCAAATATAACCTATGAGCTCATGTATCCTCCCTCCTCCAAGTCATTCTCAGACACATGCCTAACTCGTTTCCCGTTCGGATTTCTGGTACGTCATGTCTTTGAAACGTTTCATCGCCGTGTGCTCGATCAACGCCGCTTCCTTCGGCATATTTGCAAGGCTATAGATTTTTCTTTGGGTCTTTTTCTGCCAGAGTTTCTTGCTGCTAATACTTTCTTGCTGTTTGATCTTCAGCACGGAGGCAACAAATCCAGAAGTTGATGAAGGTTTTGAGTAGCCTGTTGAAATGCTTTTTGAGACGCACGCACCAAGTCGTTACACTACGTAGAAACACCAACTTGATTTAAGTGCTGAAGATCTGGAGGTCGCTTTTTATGATGAGTATAGCAGATTTAACCACCGATTTCAGAGAAATGAATATCCACCTTGCTTTTCTGGGCTTCTTTTACTTTAACGCTCTTGAGTTCACTGTTGGCAGATATATTTACACTGCAGTTGGATGAAGAAATGAAAGGTATTCCGGGAAACGTTGCACCTGATAAACATTATGTGGATGATACGTCTATAATGGGTGATATTTATCAGTCAACTAAGAATTTCACTAGTCTATTTAATCTCAATAATCCAAACATTCACATAAATTTAGAATTCGAAACTCAAAACCAACTGGGAAGATTTGCAAGTGAAAGGCAACAATTCGGCAGTAGAAGCATCAAAGACAGGAAGGACTACAGGTGAACATAGAGAAAACAGAGTTGATGAAGATTTCTGGCCAACAGCAACAGCAACAACAACAGACCACAATCAACCATCATGAATGAGAGAAATCCTAAAGAAGCAGCCTTTTTTACCTACCTGGGAAGCATTGTTTCAACTACAAGCTGCTGGAACTTATGGAGATATCAAAGCGAAGATCGGGATAGCAAGGCAAGCTTTCAATACTCTCAAGTCGGCGTGGAGATCAGCAGCATTCAGAATTCAATTATTTCACACAACTTTAATTCAAGGTACTTAAAGGTGATGGAAGCACTTAATCATATGCGTCCCAAACTATGTACATGAAAGTCAGTAGATTTCAACCTCTGCCTACCATGCAGTACTTGAACAACCAAAAGACACTTGGTTACAAAAATACACCCCTACTTTTCATGTAATGGATTAGTTACTTAGGACTCTTTTCCATTATATTGAATGATTCTGCTTGTAAGGTGGACGAAAAGAGACAGAATACTGTACGTAACGCTGTTTGCTCGCTACTCAAACTTGGCTTACTTAGATCATAAAATTAACACATACTGCATAATTTCATCTATTCCATGTGTAAACACCAGTTCAACTACTAATGTGGAACAGCTTATATTGTATGTACACTTAGGCAAGCTCATCAACGTATTATTGTACACTGCTCATCTCTATTATGCAATTTCACGTGGCTCAATACTATCTTGTATCTTTTCAGGATACTTTTCCTAGTCCATCCATATTTTCTGATGCTCTCTGAATCTGTTCTTTGCACACAGTAGATGCGTTTGCGATTAGTCTCAATAAGCTTTATCTGTTTGTTTGGAAGAACTTATTACAGTCGTTGTGTTCGCCCACACAATATGTTTAGATGCTCGTAAGTGATTTCCTCCAGTCCTTGTGAATATCATTTGACATTTTTATTTTTTATTTTCATTATTTTATTATGACTATTATTTCCCCTTTACCTCGCTTAGTCAGAAATAAAGCTGGTGAAGAGGAAAGGTTGGCCATGAGGCTAGCAATCCCATCCGGGAAAATTAAACACTGCTAAAGAAACTTCAAGCCACTAGCTTGGAGCCCTGTGTTCCACTGGAGAACGTGAAGGAAAAAAATTATTTCAGCCGATTCAATGGACCTGCTCTTAGGTTATTTCCCCATTGAAAGCTGATGATACTGCACACCGAATTCGGTGAGCTAAAATACAATCTCAACAGCGGTTGGCTGAATGTTGAGTGCTTAGCCATCCCTATTTTAGATCGCATACACATTAAAAAAAGAATACAAATCAGACCTATTCACATCACATTATTCAAATACTTTCGAATCATTCTGCACACCAAATATCAATATTCATCCTACTTTCTGCTTAAATTTCAAATCAGGTTCAACTTTCTTTGAGGATGTTAATAATTGACAACGACTCAAACAAATCCTCTTTCCGTAAAACTGAGGAAAGTTTATCTGCAACAAATGAAGAGTCATCTGTGATAAACTATCATCGGAGAATACAGAAAAATTTCATTGATATTTCGAAATATGATAAACGTGTAGGTCGTGTCATGTCACTGTTGGTAAATTGTGTAACCATCTTAGGTGATTGTGTTCTCTGTCGTGCTCATTATAATTGCAGTAATCATCGTTATAGCTCCACACTTCTTGTAAGTACTCATTATTCTCTTGTGTATAGTGGATTTAAGTGGATCGTTCGACTTGAATCCGGTCGTTCACCTCATAATGACTATGGTGTTTTGGTAAGTTTAATTTAGCTTCAGTATTCTGTTCATTGTGAATGTATTTTTCATTTGTAACATAGTGTTTATTCACTTTATTGGGTTTCACTCTTCAGTTCGAACAGCAGTGATGTTATCTCAAATTTACGATGAAGTTACCTCATATTCTTGTGTATTTCGAGTGAATATTTCCGTAGAAGGAGTGCTGACACCTTGAGAGATGCGTAGCAAAATCAGATTACATCTATGGTCTCAGATAATTATTGATGACTAGTCTGATTTTATACCTCATTATTGGGTTGAATGCGTCGCATTTAGCATTAATTGAAACTCTGTAGCAGGCTGAGTAACATGTTCTGATGTCTAGGCTTAGAAGGAGCTTGTTCAAAATGTTGTTACCTAAGAAGCACTACAGAGCTGTGAAACATCGAGTGCGGTTTTATTCTTCACCAAGTAATGTTGTTCTGAAATCAAACCGACCTAAAACACTGTGCTACACAGAAGGAAATAACTCTAGTTTATTAGAGGGGTAAGGAAGATTGGAGAATACTATAGAAATATATTTGCCAGTAAAATGTGCCCAAGTAGATAATTAAAACCTGGAGATGGTAGTTTTGATTTTCAATGTATCAATAAAGTTCCATTGTAATATTTTTGTTTCACTTCACAAACTTTTATTTCTTTTCAGCGTGTTAGCCATAGCCAGTGGATATCTTGTCGTAATTTCCACATACTTCAGAGAAAAGCTGATTACTGCTTTAATTACTCTTCTCATTTACGTGAGTAAATAGGTATTTTCGATGCATAACTTCTTTATGTTTATTACTTTACACAAATCTAGACGATACTCAGTCACTATTTAAATGAGGAGTTTGATGAGCATCATTCATGCAATTGAAGTTTAATTTCAAGTCTGTCGGTGACAAACATTTTTTGCAACAATTATTCTGCAATTTATGCAGACAAATATATAGGGGGACTCCAGTGAAGCTGTATGACCGGAAATATCCCAGGTACTGTAGAACTGATCTTGTATTTGACTTGAGGTGATCTTTGAATGTCATAGTGAATAATATTGTGAGATGTGCTTTGAAGTGTATGGATCTTATGGCTAGGATGTATCTGGGTGTAACAGGTAGCTAGTTTTGCAAACACATATAAAGGTGCTTCAGGGTGAGAGGGGAAATTTAATTTCGACACATCCATGAAATGTCTTTTGAATGAAAAAGTTGATTCAGAGGCCAGAGGAAATTAGGTAAGTGAACGAAGATGATATTTCAGAGATGAATGATTAAAGGCATAAAGTTACTAAATATCCAGTGAAGTAGCAGGACCAGATAGAATGATCATAGAAGCACTTAAAATAGACGCAGATGGCTCAGCAGGCATGTCACGGCTCAACTGCAAAAGGTGTAGAAGGAAGGAGAGGTGAGGTAATTGCATTATCCTGATTCGATTAAAAGATGACTTTGTCAAGAACAGGACATTGACTGGAATCTGCGCTATACATCGCAAATTAGCAAAAGGTTAAATTTACAATCTATTGCGTCTGGCTACAATCATGACAACATCAAGCTTAGTCAATAAGTGGTTCAGGCCATCATAATTGAAGGTCCTACGACCAAGTAATAAGCTGCAGCTGCAGACTAATTATGAAGTTACACTTTGAAGATATGAATAATAAACACCTTCACTCCACACATTACACTAAACACTAGTTAGTGATAAAGATACCGGGAACATGGTGTCATATCACTGCTGCCAAAGAGTCTATCCATTATCAGACTTAAGTCATTCTGCATTTCTTATTGCTTTAAATGTGCAGTTTACCTGCCTACCATCGGTTTAAAAACATAAATAATCAAATAGTGGATTGAGGAAAGGAAGTAACAAAACTCTTTGGCTGTTATTTACCTGTTTTTGAAGCGAATATGAAATCAAAACTTCTTATAAATAAATTGACTCTGTGTGTAATTTATTTTCTTTTACTTTTCAACTCCAGGGAATATGTTGCTCTGTTTGTCTGTCCATTTTCTTTACCGGTGCTACACTTTTGGATGTTATTCTGGGTTGGGTTGCATCTGTTGTCATATGTGCATGTGGAGTATTTTTAGGAGCAATGATAAAGAAAGATTTGACTGAGAAATTCGACATCTTCCTGGTAGTGTGTGTTGTAATTTTTATTCTGACGGGCATCGCCATGGTGATACTAATTGCTGACAAAATAATCAGGGTGAGTTAACATATTGTCAGTTTATATGTATCCTTTTATTTTAGGCTTAACCACAGATTTATAACGGTTAGTCACTCACCGTAAACCACTGCGGAGTACTGGGTAGCCAACGCGACCTTGTGTGTTGCTGTCCAGTAGTATGCACTTAAGACCTCACCATGAATCGACAGTGGGCGATTAGGATCCATTTGGCGAATACGACTTAATCATTCACCCATGAATTCTAACCTTTATTCCAGTGGCTGAGCGGTCTACAAACTTGCCCAGTCACCTCAAGGTCCTGGTTTTATTTCTTAGCACTAAAGTCATAGGTGTTTACTATTGTTAAGTCTCAAGCAAGAACTAGGCAGCTTTTCGATACCTCCTGGTGCTTTTCAGCAATTCCGTAACTGATGTCAATCCATGATCGAACCTAAAACTAATCAAATCCCTACAAAGTACTACTTGATTATGTTATCAGTGGATACATACAAGAAGGAATACGGCTGTGTATATACGCCATCTCGCGAAGAAATGAGTTGCTTTAAGGTTTTGTTCGATGAAATATATAGAAAGTAGGCTGTCGTTGTAGCATTCACATAAGTCTGTTTCAGTTCATGTTACTTCTTGATTGTCATTATTTTAGCCAATCCAAAGAGTTATTCATTTAATTTGTTACTTACACTTTTTCTGTTATCTTCAACGATTTTATACCTGAGTGTGTTATAATTTTCAAATATCTACTCTGACATGTCATGAAGTTCTTGCCATCATTTTATTTGAGTTATGTGACATCAATAACTATCCCTACATTCTTCGTATGTATATATCCTCAATAATTAATGGATGAGATTTATGTTTACTATTTCTGGTGTAACTCTAATGATACTGGGATTCTCGACTCGTTCTACAGCTACTTCAACACAACAATAATACACGTACCTAAAATGCTGTAGCGTAGACTTAAGTACTGGACAACAACATGCTACCAATTGAATGGACTATCATTTGCCACACTAGGAATAAACAGATGACCGATTAAGAAGGCAAGACTTATTTTTCCATACAAACAAGAATGCCAATAAGAATTACAGCCAACTATTTCGTTGTTTTATATAAGCAATAAATTACTAGCCTAGGAAACAAAGCTAGAAGTATTATTGCAATTATTGGTTCCTTGAAATCCGAGTGAAACATGTGACTTCACAAGCTCATCTCCGCTCCACTCAGTTCTCCGTTACCACTTTCAGCGGAATGCAGGACTATACACAAGCGAACATAATGGCCTCTCATGATCTTTTCCTAGTCACTACCAGACCGACACTTCACTCGATGTTTCTCATTCGGAAATAATTGAACAAATGTTAGAGGAATACAATTTGAACGCCTATACAACGAATGTCCAATCCATTTACGTATATGTCTGCATATTTTCAAGTTTTGGTTCACAGGGATTTGGTTGATCACAGGCTTCATCAAAAGCTGACATTAGTTTAAGCAGTAATGGAAACTGAAAGAGTACTGTATGATTGGTCCGTCTGAGTTTTGGACTCTACAGTAGTACGCAGCTGCTAGGATTCAAATACAGGGATTTGCGGTGGCAAATCGAGCTCGCATACCACTCAGCCAATGGGGTTGGATTGGATAAATCATGAATTCCAACGTCTCTCTAGACTTAGCGACTAGAGAGGTCCACCGAGTGAGGAATGAAAATAGCTTTTAACCGATAAAACTGCTGCTGGTTGCACCGTGTATATCGTCACCTGTCAGAAAATAGAATTAATGTTCCATTGTATCCTCTACCAGCAAATGAATGGTATAGTAGTCCGTTCTGTGAGGAGAAAATTGTAAGTTCGAATGCCATTTTGTTGCCAGTGTGCCTTCGCATCTCGTGTATTTGGATTCCTCGTCAAGGAATTATCTCTAGCATAGTTTATTAGGCATCATTTAGTGCAGGATAGAAGGAAGGTCGGGTAATACAGCCAACCTCACCGTTAACGAAACTTGTAAGCAGAGAAAAAGGTGATTGAAACATACCGCTGATTACTTTCACAACGAAATGTATTGCAGAGTGTCAATTCACATCCAAAAAAATTAGTACTACTTTCATTTCACTCGATTATTATTCAAATTCATCCTGTTCACACTGTCCTTACTTTGACTGTTCATTTCAATTTTAGGCCGTTTTAACCATCGCAGGAATAGGAATATTTGTAGAAGTGTTTCTGGTGAGTAAATTATTTTGAAAGTCAACATAATGACTGATATGGTTTGCCGCTTTAATGGAAGCTCCTCTTTCTGCAATTCATCTCTTTTAAACCGTTTGAATTACAAGGTCGGTATGCATATTTTCATCTTGAAAATCTCCATATCAGTAAAATCACTAATCTTATAACGGCCTCCAACCGAGATTTTCTTTTCTCTACATCAAGCACTGTTGACTCTTGCAATCGACAGCTTATCGCTAAACCGAAGATTCCTTGCTTTACAACAAGGCAATAAAATTCATAGCCTATTATTATATCATTATTATTCCTCATTTCGGTTTCGAGTGTAACGTAGGAACTCGATAGTTCATCTCCATTTTGTCTTTTAAAATGTGGTCCCCTCTAGCTGGCCTCTCGATACCCTATAGTTTCGCATCTCCCCCCCCACTATCTCATTTCCGACATTTTTGGTCTCATGATCCACTCATCGTTCCCTTTTCGGATTTCATCCTAGGGTGTGATGTGCGATTTCATTCGAAAGTCTTCTCAATGTGAGGCTTATCCATCTCCTTTTTCTTCTGCATGGTTGTCAAAGACTTAGTATATATTTGTTCTGATAGTCTCTTGTTGCTAGTTCTTTCTGATCACTTGGTCTTCAGTACAGAGTGAAGAAAGCTGCTGATGGAAGTCCACAGGCGGTTTGAAGTGCCTCCTCTGATGCTCGCACTACGTTTTTGACCCACACAGAAGAAAAACCAAAGAATTTTGCTTTGTGTGTCGAATTCAGAAGATTTATATACTGATTTCAGCTTGATGAAGGTCTGCGTTGCCTTTCGAATTCTGGTGTTAACATCGTCATCCATTTCACCACCCGAAGTTGAAACCAAACTACCTAAAAAAGCGAAGGATTTGATTGGCACTTACGGAAGTTGCCTACATTATCTTTTCTTTGTCAATTGAAGTCTCATCTTTGCTGATTCCAATGCTGGCTTTCTCCTGAAAGTCTTCGAGTTTATATAACACTATACGTAAGTCGTCCACGAAATCAAGATCTTCCAGAGTCTGCTTATTGGTCGGTATATGCACATCCTCTCGATCTGCACAGTCTGTAGCATATCCTTTGGGATCTCGACTTCGGCTTTCCATTGCTTCTTACGGTAAGAAAAAGGCGTAAACAGAGAAGAAAATTTTCTTTTTAACGATTCATTTTCATGAGCTGTATAATCGTAATTATATTTAACAAAGAAATCTTTAGACCAAGCAGATTTTGTCAAACTTTGTCCCTGAAAAATTGTATTACATAATGTGAGGTGTAAGGAGGGATGACTGATTGTAAGTTAGAAAAGAGAGAGAAGTTGACATGACGTGATAAGTGTGAGGTAATACCTAATCAGTAAGCTCGTGTAGAATAGACAACATCTAGTGGAAAGGCAACAAATCTGTATGAAAAAGTGATGTTATTAATAAACCGTAATGGAGTGGCAATAAAATATGGGTGATGGGAATAATAATGAAAATGAAATAATATTAGTCATAGCAATGATAATAGTGAACTTACGCAATAAGAAAAGAAGCGAAATTATAGTATGATATTTACTCTTGCTATGGTAGGGTGAGCGAAAGTATGTATCGCCTTTGAATGCAGAGGTCCGGTTTCAGATCCCGAATAGCTAATGATTCAGCCATGTACAGATTGCGTATTCTCGATGTCAGGTGATGACAAGGTGATCGAGGATGGGGCTGCTGCTATTCTTATTTTCTTCTCTGGCTTACCAAGCTGGATAGTGTTGCAGACTACATTTGTAGACTTAATGTTGAGTACGGCCGATATACTTTGCTCCACACGAGTAAGTAAATTGATGAATACACACTGGAGTGTCCAAAAGCGAAATCTTATCCTTAAATTCCTAAAAAAGTATGTGTTAATACCCTGAGATCTGTCTGTCTGGATTCAACATAGAACTTGGCACCGAAGTGCGGCAGTTCGAGTTGCCACGTTTCAAATAGCACACAAAGGTAGACAAGATGATAAGTGAAGAGAATCAATAGAGTTTGACAAGTATAAGAGTGAAACAGAATGGGTAATTATAGAAAGGAATATGAAAGATTACAGAGACTGAATACATCATTGCCATTGCCCGAAAACTGTTAACTTGATGTGGTGGTCGGGCTTGAAAACAGCGATGACCAAAAAGCTATACTGGCTGAAGCTTATGTCTCTTGAGGTTCTTCCATACCAGAAAGGTTGTTTGGATAGCGGTTAAACTAAAAGCAGCTACCAAATCCAATACTATGATTAAAACTGATTCACAAAATATCATGCCGGATCAGTCGGCGCCCAGATTAACAACGACCGCGTTTCCTGCTGCCATGTCACAGGGCAGAAGCGATAAATATGCTACTGAGACACACCAAAGAAAGATAACGAATATAAAGAGGCCGCATGGGACCGACCTCGAACAGTTGTCCCTTGGGCTCTGAGGTCACGCAAACAACTTCCACAGTGTTGGCAGCCGGGAAGTAACAATCGCCCTCACAATCCGAAACGCACACGGAATCTCTCTAATACTCTGTGATACCGTGAATAAGAAATCTTTGTATCTTAAGTTGAGTTACATAGTAGAAATTGCAGCTGACATTCTAAATTGTCGACATAACAGAGCAGTAGAGAGAAAATCGCCTGCAGCTAAACTTGTGCTCAACTTCTCAACTAAATCAGTAATCACACAACGAGTCAAGGATGATTTACCAATGATGATCTGATCAATGTGTACCTATTAATTCAACTGCTCATGTGAAGTTAGTTACATTGACTGTACTCAGAGGGCTTTATCCATACGCGCGTGGGAACATGTACCTGTATGGTTAAGTAAAGGTGTAACCAAATGCGTAATTAGTGAGGCCTTAGCCCACTTGGTAGATATCGGACACCCGATAAAACTTTATCAGGCGTTCCGAGTGATCTATGGTGTTCTTGGTAATCCATGTAGAGGAGGCCGACTGCGTCTTCTATCAGTATCTGAAGTGGTTGAAATCAATACCAGAAGACCGACTATTTGTATACAGAAGACATATTTTCACCGACCGCGTTTACTTTGAATTACAAGCATATTAGCCATGAAACATGCATTAACATGTTTAATAACTGATGTCAGCTCATGATGAACTCCAACTTATCAAAATTGTATGAGTTTTAATCGAAAATTTACTTCAAACTTACAAATTTTGGTTTACTTTCGTTAAACATTTTAGGCAGATTGTACTTTTTATCAGATTACGTTCGACTAGAAGTTGGTGGTCGTAGATAACTGAATGCGAAAGTATATGTGTATCTGCAGTATATAATAGTGTTTTTTGTGTGTATTGGTAGAAAGTTGTTCAACATTCGCTAACCTGTCCATAAGAAGATATAGACAATTATGATTAGTTAGTGATGCATATCCATCTTTTATTTATTAATCAGGATTTATCACGCATCAGCTAACATCACATGTTAAATTCTATTCAAACTGTTGGGACCTACCCATATGTGTACGGCTTCCATAGAAACATACCTGAGTACATGAGATCAGCTAATGCATTACCACAATTCTGTTGGTTATTTCTATCCATGTAACAATGACTTGTTTGAACTTCGTCAATAATTTGTGTTCATTTATATGAAGTGTTTGAATTGTGGACATTAGACAGTGACTGATTGACTGACTGACTCACCGATCATCTGCCTGAATTCCACTCATCATCATCAGACAAAAATTAAAACTACATGCTGTAGCCAAAACTATTTAGTGAAACTAATTTTCAATTTGTATTTAGAGTTGATATCTATCTATCAATCTATTCTTATTTGCTACATTTGTATTCTTTTATCATTTTCTTATTTATTTTTTGCCTGAACAGGTGTCAGTTATAGTTGGACAATTGATCTTCAAATCTGGTCACTTACATATTCGTGATGATTGGTCTCTGGGTGTACTGGGCGTGTTCACACTAGTTATCACAGCGTTTGTAATAGCAGAGGTGGCCATCTACTGTTTCAGAATCATGACGTAATTTACGTAACGGAAGAATTCCTTAAGCAATTGTGTTTATTACAGTTAAATTAGTGAATGGATCAATCACCTAAGGAATTCATAACAGCTGGTGTTCTTCATTTTCTTATTCTTTATCAATAACATACACTGCATTGGGGATCCTTTCTATGCCTCAACCTAAACAGCCTTAATAATCTTCAGGAATGATTCGAGTACTCCAGTTATTTATATGTTGACGTATGTTGAGGATACTGATATAATGTGTAACCGCGATAAAGACGAATAACCAATTTATAAAGAAAACTTATTCTGTACACCAACACATCAGGGTAACAACTTGAGAACATGTCTTGAGTATGTTTGTAGTTGATCTAACATTAATATTAATGACGATAATAATAATGATAGTGAAGTACTGAGTGACACACTTGTGGAAAATAGGTACGCTATTTGGATACTATTTGGAGAATAAACAACATTAAAGTTTGAATGTCACTGTCACGAAGATAAAGGTGTTTTTAATTCATTAGGTGCAGAGATATATATTGAGATAAGTTGGCTTGACAAATAACATAAGTTTTGTGCTTGAAGAGATGCGCAAACTCCTGCTCATTAGATGCAACGAATTTGTTGACATTAATAGCTAAGAGATTTCTCAAAATCAAAATGCATAACAACAATTCAACGAGAAGAATAAATTTATCTGACAAATGTAATTTATTCGCCAAAACGCATTTTGAACATCCTGATCACATTTGTTCTTGTCATGCTTATTTACATTAAGGTGACCTACACTTCACCACTTGTCTGGTAAGTGAATATATATGTATTAGCATACACAAACATCAAGGGTGGTTTTGCCCGATACATATGCGACAAAGTGCTATCATTGTTTGTGGCCCTAATCTGTTCTGATTAAGCTGCATGGAATGGAAAAATAGTTGGTGGACGTTCAATAAGTCTACTCACGAGACACATCTGAATGGACTGATGTGTACTTTGATTCATGTTTCAGTTTTAATGATAATATGTCGCATACACCATTGATAAGTAAGGTAATCAGGTGCACAAATCTCTGCAAATCCATTCAAGTATTCAGTAATATAAATTTGGGTAAAAGACGCCTCTTGTAATGGAGGCCAAAATAACCTCATTTCGAAATATCATAGTGAATTGAGCGATGACAGGTATAACTAGGTAATCAGAAAAGAATGTCAGATGGAAAAAGTTGTAGGAACAACCGCTATCTCATTTGCAGACATATGCCATCATCTGTTATGAGAAAGTGTCTTCCCAGTCACATAAATTAGTGCTAATGTATTAGAAATTGGCGATCTGACCCTGAACCAAATAAGCTTTATTTTCACTCAGGTGTGTAAGTGTATACATATGGAATGACTGATTTCTGATAGAACAGACTGAAGATTCACGAAGGTGATGAGAAGGCATAACAGTCAAATGGATGGATGTTATATTTGGTCAATTTTTGTTCATGCTAATGTAAACTAAATAAAATATGAAGCGAATCTTTCCCACGTTAGTGTAGCCGTATGGCGTCACCATTCATTCACACACAATGGCGATGTTATCCGAGTGTTTGTAAGTTTCATCTCGAGTGATTATGGTGGATGTGCACGCTATGCTTCTTACTTTGCAACCGAACCAGTGCCATTCACTAAACTATACATACTAACCAAAGACTCTGGTTTCAGTCATGCAGCCATTAATATCTCTATTCCTGTATCCATCGACGTGCAAATTACAAAGTGATGAAATATGAGGAAATCGAAGGAAGTATGGCTTAATTATTGTGTTTTTATTGAATCATCCAGTCATACATGTCCTATACGCAATCAGATTTCCAAAAACTATTTTCACCGATTTGTAGATTTGAGGATAACAACGTTTGAGAGTGTGTAGTTAAGTCACTTGACTTTAATGACGTCAGCTTATCCTAATAGTGATGGCTGTGACATAATCTCTTGTACACTGTCGAGGTTTGCAGTGGAACATATTTTCAGATTTTTTGACAATTACAAGCTGGGCTGCATGACAGGTTCTACGGATGACCGAATTCAACTTCTGTCTGAAAATCCTACTGTTTATTTCCCCGTTATATGGTAATTTGATGGAAACATTTTTTTCTTTGAGGTGGTATAGATTGTAGGTTCAAAGACTAATCGACTTTTCATATATATCGACTTGACAATTAAGTCTGTGATCAGATTTTTCGTAATGTATAGCGCAAATACATCACATTTTTTCAGATAATCTCCGTCTTCTAGTAACGTTATCCAAATAATAATAATCGTAAAATAATAACCATGATGTGGTGTAAATTATAAAGTAGTATTGGGGAATGATTTTCAAATAATAATAATGAATTTAGTGAAGTGGAATGAATACGATTTTGTAAATACGATAGCAAGTTAGAAAAGCACTACTTAAAACTAATGTAATAAATCATTAAACAATGAAATCAGGAAAAGTCAAAAAGTGACCGTTTGTCAATGAAACAAAGGAATAGAAGAAGAAGAAAAGAAAAATGTGATAGGAATTTTAAGTGCTAATGTTTATGGAGAATTTGTTGGCCGTATTATAAGCTAAGGTAAACATAGCGGTTGAACATACCTCTTCTGCATGCAAAGAGTCGGTCTTCTGGTATTGATTTCAACCACTTCAGATACTGATAGAAGACGTAGTCGGCCTCCTCTATATGAATTACCAAGAACACCATAGATCACTCGGAACGCCTGATAAGGTTTTATCGAGTGCCCGATATATACCAAGCGGGGTAAGACTGCACTATTTACGCATTTGGTTACACCTTTACTTAACCATACAGGTACGTGTTCCCACGCGCGCATGGATAAAGCCCTCTGAGTACAATCAATCTAACTAGCTCCACATGAGCAGTTGAATTATTAGGTACACATTGATTAGGTCATCATTAGTAAATCATCCTTGACTCGTTGTGTGATTACTGATTTATTTGGTAAGTTGAGCACAAGTTTAGCTGCAGGCGATTTTCTCTCTACTGCTCTGTTAGGTCGACAATTTAGAATGTCAGCTGCAATCTCTACCATGTAACTTAACTTAAGATACGAAGGTTTCTTATCTATGGTGTCCACCTTTACTCTATCTCTAGGTATTGACATATACTTTTTTTAGAATATTTTCTGGATTTCCATTTTCTTGCAGTTTCAGCTTACGCGTTTCTTCCTTAATTCATTCCTCTGAGCATATCCGTTTTATCTTATAACTAAGACACCTAACTAAGTTTCTTTTGTATTGAATCGGTGTGAAGCTACGAAAATGGATGTGCTGACACGTCCATAAACTTATAAATAAGTTGCTTTTCAGATATACATCTGTCTTCATGGTAAGAGTGATGTCTATGAAAGGTACACTGTTATTATCTTCTTCCTCAAATGTAAACTGAATAGCTGACTGAACGCTATTAACAGCATCCAGTAGCTCATGTTCATTACAATTACTATCACGAACGATGAAGGTATCATCTACGTATCGACAATAATAGTCAATCTCTTTAATCGTTCCTTTGAGGACACTTTTCAAGCCAGGAAATTAACCGCTAACATAAGGTCCATACATTATCCCATGACAAAACCATCAACTTGTCTATAAAAATCATTTTCCAACATAACTGAACATTCATAGTGCATTTCAATAATAATTCCCTGACTTTTTCCGGTGGGATTTCTACACCGATCTTTCGTTTTTTCAGTTGTTCACATAAGTAGTTGACTGTTTCGAGCAATGGGATTTCGGTGAATAATGATGCTACATCCAGTGACATTATTTTCTTTCCCTATACAATCAGGCTTCTGGTAGTTTCTACACAGCCACTTAAGTCTTTTACACTGAATTTTACTAATTCACGATGTAACGGTTTCAAGGCCTTAAACAACCACTTTGCTGTAGAATGATATGGAGATTAACATATATCTATGATGAGATGTAGTGGTACTCTCGGCTTGTGGACTTTCGGTGAACCATAAATTCTTGGTATTTGCGTACCCAAGGGTTTCAAGTCGTCGAGTGTATCCTTAGGATTCAGATTACTCTCAATCTGTGATTTTAGTGTCTTAACTATTTGGCGTTCAGTTACCTCAGTTGTGCCTTTACAGCACTCACTTTTTAAAATTTCTTATGGTCGCTTAGAAAGAGCTTTATCTTGTCGACATAAGCACTCTTTTCATGATAATTGCACCAGATACTCAGTCAGGTCTTGTTGTCATCAGATTTTCGTTCTTCTTGAGGTCACGAAATGCTCATAATTGAACAAAGGATTTAGGTCGTGTGTCTTGGCAAATAGGTTTTCAAATCTAACATCAGTCTCTAAAGTGTCATCCTGATTACGTCTGTCACAGAATTTTAAACCGAGAGATGAAGCTTCAAGTTGTCTTATCTAACTTTATTAACGAAGTCAATCAATAAATCCTTCAAGTTCTGAGGAAGTTCATCAACGGCGTAAAGCCTTTGAGAAACATTACCTTCGGCTTCAAATATATGTGTTTGAAGAATTTGGTTAAATCAACCAATGTTTTCTTCAAAACATTATGCACCGTGGAGAAGTTGATTAAAGGAGTGTATGTCTTTTTAGTCCATTGGGTGCTCTGGAACAAATCCGACTCCGTATATCAAGTATGAGTAACTATCCGGTACGTTTGTACCAGCCTACAAAGTGTAATTTATTCTTCCTCACTTGAAGCCATTCACATCATATCTGTTTGGCTTTATTATTATGTAGGTGATCTTAAAGTACTGAATTGGAGGATATTAGAAGATGAAATGAGAACCTTTATTCGCAATGCCAGCTGCAAACAACAACAGTCTGTAAACGAAACATTATCTCAGATGGCATCATCGTCGACTTTTTTATTTCCTGGAGGCCTTCATATTACTGAATGTTAGTAGGTTGTATACGATACTAAACACATGAAATGGAGCTACGATAACACTGAATTTGTCATTTGAGTGTTGAATTTTTCACCA